TAAGATATAAGATATTATTTAAGGAGCGAAATATTTTAGTAAATATAATATTACTAACGTATATAACCGACTACGAATTAAGGTAGGAGATAAATAGAAAACGGTATTTAGGACTAAGTTTAGTTACTACGAATATACCGTTATACCCTTCGGATTTACTAACGTACCTATATTATTCTAACGTTTTATCTTTACTATATTAGAAGAATATCTCGACGAGTTTATTATTATATACCTAGATAATATCCTCGTATTCTCTAAAACTAAGGAAGAATACCTTAAATATAATAAAAAAGTACTATAGAAGCTAAGGGAAATAAAAATTACACTTAAACTTAAGAAATATAAGTTCTATATTTAGGAAATAAGTTTCTTTAGATATACTATTAGCCCCGACGGGTTAGGAATAGAATAAGATAAGATTAAGAGTATTCTTAAATAACTAACTCTAATATATATTAAAGATATTTAGAGCTTCTTTAGATTAGCTAATTACTACCGAAAGCTCGTTCCGAAATACTTATAATATATAGCTAGACTCTACCGATTTACTAAAAAAAGAGTACTATTTAAATAGGATAATAAAGCGGAAAAGTTATTTATAGTACTTAAAAAAATATATAATAAGAAAATAGGAGAGGTAATTCTTATAATCTTTAACTATAACGTACTAATTATTATAGAAACTAATATATTAGACTTCGTACTCGGCGTATAGCTTATATAACTAGGAGAAGACGGTAAGCTTAGACTTATCGCTTTTTAGTCTTAGAAAATAATCCTAGCAGAGCTTAATTACGATATCTACGATAAGGAATTATTAGCTATAGTATTAGTATTCTAAACCTAGAGAGCGTACCTAGAAGGAGCGAAATATACTATAATCGTACGGATAGATTACTATAACCTTATATACTTTATAATAACGAAAAAACTTATATAATAATAAGCTAGATAGGTAGAAACCCTAGCCTAGTATAACTTTAAGATAGTATACTATAAAAAAACTAAAAATATAGTTATAGACGTACTAAGTCGATAACCCGACTATAAACTTAGGACTAAGGAAGTAGTACCTACTATCTTAACTATAAATAATAAGGGATATATTATCTATAACTACTAAATCCTCGTAGTAACTAGCGAAGTATAGGATAACGAATAGCTATAGAAGATTCGAGAAGCTATAACTAATAATAAATTAATATAGAAGATTTTAGGTAATAATACTGTACTAACTAGAAATAGCTTAGTCTATATTTATAGCTTAGTATACGTTCCTAGAAACTTATAGACTAAGATTATCTAATTATACTATAATAAACTAATATAAGGATATTTAGGAATCGAAAAAATAATCGAGAAAATTATATAGAACTACTATATCCTAGCGATATATAGAAAAGTTAAAAAATATATCTAGTAATACGATTTATATTAATAAAATAAATCGACTCGATATATACTATATAGAGAGCTATAGGTAGTAGAAATACCGACCCGACTATAGGAGTAGATTACTATAGATTTTATTACGAAATTACCTATCTTAGAAAGAAACGATATAATTATAGTAGTCGTAGATCGGCTAACTAAATATATATATATAATTCTAACGACCGAAACTATTAACGTATAAATAATAGCTAATCTACTACTTAGATATATATTTACTAATTATAGAATACCGAGTAAGATTACCTCGAATAGAGATAAACTCTTTATATCTAATATATAGTAATTACTTATAGATTAAATCGGTATTAAGTATAGACTCTCTACTATATACTACCTATAAACTAATAGGTAAACAGAACGAGTTAACTAGACCCTAGAATAATACCTATAGTATTATATAAACTACTAATAAAATAATTAGATAGGATTATTACTAATAACGTAATTTACGTATAATAATACTATATACTTAACGACTAAGGAAACACTATTCTTTATAAATTATAGGCTTAATTCTACGATTATCGGAGAACCTATCGGTAAATAACTAATTACGGAATTATTATACCTATTAGTAATAGGAATAAAGTAATTATACCTTTAACTATCTAGAGATATTAAGTTTCTTAATATATATATAAAATTCTACTACGATTAGTTACGCTAGGAGGCGCTAGACTTTTAAGAGGGAGAGAAAGTTTATCTCCTACGACGTAATATTCGTACTAGACGACCTAGTACGAAACTTAATTATCTTAAATTAGGACTATTCGAAATTATAGAAAAAATAGGACTACTTAATTATCGACTAAAGCTACTAGAAAGTATATAACGTATCTATATAATATTTTATATCTTATTATTAGAAAAAGTACCTAGAAACGCCGAAGTCGCTACTAATATAGAAATCGAGGAAGAAACGAAGAATAAATATAAGATTAAGGAAATCCTAGTAATAGATAAAGTTAACAGGAAACCTTACTACCTCGTAAAATAGTAAAGATATAATACCTTAGAAAATATATAGGAATCTATCGAGAACCTAATAGGCTACTACTAGCTAGTTTAATAGTTCTATTAGCGGAGGGGGAGCTACCTAGCCTAGAAATATCTAAACTATCCTAGAAGGATAAAGATAACTAAGTAATCTCCTAAAATATCTAATTAAAATTCGGATTCTTAGTAGTAGACGCTAACTACTAAACTTTAAGGGTAGAAGAAATAGCCTACTCTAGGGACGACGTCTTTTTATTAAGAATTCTTAATAATTTAGTATTATATTCTAATATTTTAAAACCTTTTTACTTAAGGAAGGCTATTTATTTTCGTAAACGATACTATTAAGATATAGCTTCCTAATACTATTTTTATTTATTTAATAATTATTAATATAGCTCTACGAGATAAGACTATAAATCGCTTAACTTAGGTTCTAATAAATCGAGTTTACTTTTATTCTTTTCGATATCGGAGGAAAGTTTATCTTTAGCGTAACGTAATAAATCCTATTCCTAACTAGTATAAAACTCTCGCTTATACGCCCGACTAGCGTAAGTATAAGAAATATACTTAGAATATCGATAACTCCGATCTATTATATACTTTTTACTAGATTCCCGATAATAATCGTAAGGAATAGATACGATAAAGCTATTTATAATAATATATTTAGCTTAATAAATATAACTAGCGACCTAATCGCGTAGAATAGGAAGTTTAGGAATACCTTTAAGAATAGAGTTAGCCTTACGTTTAGGTATAATAAATAGATATAATAGGGTAAGAAGAAAAAATAGAAAAATACTATATCTACCTAAAAGGGCACTAACGTTTAAAAAGAAATCCTTTAAGGATAAAGGACTAGAAAGGAGGGGATAATATTACGGACCTTAAGAGGTGTAGGGACTGTAGTTATTTAAAGAGTAACCGTAAACTAATCGTCTACGGACGCTAAAGAGTAATATTATTACGTACGTTTCGGTATACTTAGATATATCCCGGAAGGCCCTAAGATATTCCGGAAAGAGAACTAGAAACGGCCTATAGTTAACTACTACGGATAATACCTACTTATATAATAAGGTAGTTAGTATAATATAGGAAACGGCTACTATTTTACCTATACTTAGATTACGTCCTAAGTACTAGGTACTAGTAAAACTATATATAATCTTTAGTAGTAAAAAGGTAGATTAGTATATAGGTAGATCGTACTAAGACTTATTTACTACTCTACTATTTACTACCTATACTATTATAAAGGACTAGATATATAAAGATACTTATTTAGTATTATATATTTAGTTCTTCGCGATTAATTATATATTATTACTTAGTTACTACCTTTAGTACTCTACTTTATAGTTTACCTTTAAGATAACCTAATCTATAAGTAGGGGAGCTCACTTCGTAGCAACACTTAGTAACTAACCTACTTAGTGCGCACCTCTAGCACGTTCTGCAAGATACTTAATAGGACCCGAACCTAACGTAAGGCTAAGCATAGCAACGGTACGGTTACGAGATACTCTTGGAATCCGCAGTTAGAACTAGGCAAGTATAACCCGGACGCTCCAACTCACAGTGACCAGTCGGCACCGCATAACACCTTTCTTATCTTTCTACTAGGATTATACTACGTTTAGATCTATCTTATCTAGGTTACGCTCGTCGCTAGTAGTTATTCTGCTAATATAGTTTACGATTATTAACCCTCGCTTAAAATTAATAAAATAGTTAATAACGCCCTATAGATCGGTTAGAGGGTTATATTCTTCTGCCTATTTCTTCTATAAATTAGTATTTATATCTATTTAGAGGTATTAGATAATAATATCCTCCTATATCTTAGGATTATACTTAGATATAGCCTACTAGAGTTCGGTAGTATACTATATAAAAGTCTTTCGGCCCTATTTATATAATATAAAATAGTCTTACTTCTTTATATTACTAAGATACTCCGAAAACTTATATAAGATCTAATCCTAGTAGACTTACTAGGTCTTAATCTTTTTACTATATAAGTTCGCGAGCTATCGCTCCTAGCGATTATTAGTATAGCCGGTTAAGGCTCCGCGAGTATATCAGAAACATTGGCGCTTATGGTGGAGGTAGCCCTAGGGCTGGCAAAGGCAAACAGGGGACGATCCCATGCTTTCTTTGCGCGTGGTTTGACGGTGCTTTTTTTGATGCCAGCTTGAGGAGGGAGGACGATCTTGGAGTCGCGCTGTGCGGTACCTCCCATCAATTGCTGACGGGGGAGAGTGGGTCGGAGTGGAGAGGTCGAAGCGCAGGAGGTGGCGGGAGCGGCCATTACGGAGGAAGATGGGTCAAAGGTCACGTGGATATCGCCAGCCGCTATGGCGACCTCAGGTCTTTTCCGTGACATGCAGCCCATTTGGAGCGTTTGGATCGCGATGTTGCCTCCATAAAACCCCCACGCTGTCTCTCTACTGAGGGAATTTATTCGGTTTGTGATTTCTTCCGATGTGATAATATTCAAGGGATCTCTCAGCTTCAAGGCTTTGGTAGGCCTCTGGATGGCTGGATGTCCACATCGACACGGAATCCACTCTGGCTCCCTCCACAGCTCCCTTTACTTACTGTATAGGAAGAATTCAAAGCCAAAATATTGTCTTGGTCTACCAGATAATAAACATGAAGACCGTCCTCCTGCGGTCGCTGTCCGGCCCCACCAGAAGGTCGCGAAACCATCCAAGGTAGCCAAGCCAAAGCAGGCTCAGCCGGGGGAATCGCCCAAGGCGTCACGAGCCGGTTTGTCCTCCCGGCGACGAGCGGTCAATGTCGAGGCTCGCGTGCAGGGAGAAGTCACACCGCTCGATGCCACTCAGCGGGACATAACAAACCCCGTCAGCACAGGTGTGGTTGGTAGTATCAATCGAGGTCCTGCTAGCGGTTCGTCACCAGGACGGCGAGTCACAATCACCTTTCGCGCTTACCAGCGAGGGGAATAGATGATGAGGGACGTGGTGTCTGTGGATTCCGATCATCCAGTTGAGGCACAGGCCATCGTAGAGCGGTATGCCCGAGACCCGGAGCAGGAGGTCCATTTCTATGATCGTTCACTACGGAAAGTTGCTGTGGACCAGTGTGTCCGCGCGGCGATCGACGATGGAAGTTTCACGGTCCTTATGGGTTTGGGAAGGGGCCTCGCGGTGACGCGGAACCTGGTGTCCTCGGTGACACAATTGCTCGAGAATGTTGGAACCGCCGGGCCAGTCATAGAGGAAGAGGAAGAGGAGTTGTAACGGTGGGGATATCGACCTTAGGTTACACGTTTTGTTTATATTTAGCGAGCATTTCCAGCAAACTTAAAATTCAGTGTATATTCTCAATTTATTTTGTGCTCCCCAGTCCCCACCTCTTTCGTGTTCTGGCAGGTGAACAGTCTCACTGCGAAGCCTCCTGTGGGACTCCTGCATTCCTTTTCGTCTCCGAACCTTTCTTCGCCCGTCCCCAGCACCACCACGCATCGATATGCGGCTCGTCGCTGACAACCGCCAACAACCGACTCAGCGAGATAGCCGCCGGCTCGGTAGGGAAATAATCACTCCTCACGGGCTCCCTGGGCTCTGCCGGCCCTCCCTCACAGTAATAGCAGTCAACTCGAGATCTTCCGTCTTCATGCCCTAGCTGATGCTCGATATTACGAAAACTGATTTCACCGGTCCACTCCTTGTGGTCCGCCTTGAACCTCTCGTAACACTGTATATCAAACGTGCGTCCGCCATGTTCGAACCAGTCTGTGATAGCCTGGGTGGAGGATTCGATGGAGATAGAGGAACCTAGAGGCGCGGATACCCAGCCGTCTAGTTTTAGATGCCCGTTTACGACGAGCTCAGCGAGATTAGGGATGAGGCGCTCGATGCAGGTAATGTGGTAGTACTCGATGAGTTCTGGGGAAGAAATTGTCAGTCAGCCAGTCAGCCCACAGTTGGTTGAGAATAGGAACCGTGCTCAGGGATAGGGAATAAGAAAAGGCGATACACAATACCTTCCCCATAATACATATTCCGGCTACTCTTCAGCGCAAAGCGATACTGGGATCGGATAATCGGCGAGCGAGCGAGTCTCGTAATCGCGCAGTCCCACGCTCTGCAGTGGCTGGCTTTGACCCGCGGCACCTCTTGCAGGTAGAGTATTCGCTCTCCAGATCGCAGATCCTCCAATATGTAGCCTGCTTCTTCTCTCCTCCGTCTCGCTTGTCTCTTTCTCTCCCGTCGTCTTTCCCTGTCCGCGTTTGCGTCCGCGACCGCGGGGTTGGCTGGTGTAGCCTCTGGCCGTGCCTTGGGGGTTGAAGTTTCGTCGCGGCCCCCGCTGGTGGCGGCGTCTGTTGGCTCTGTGCTTGGAGGCATGGTCGGAACAAGGTTGAAACGATGAAGAAAATAAATCAGATTCCCAATATAAGATTACTGATGGGTGCGCCGGTATCACCTTGGAGCAGAGCGGTAAAGAGAGAGTTGGTGTGGGAGAGAGCACGGCACTGAGATACAAAAGGACAGCCTTGCGGCGGGGAGCTTTCCGACGGTCCAGGTTTCAACAAAACAGGCTTCATTAGCCACGAGTCCCTATCTAGGAGGTCTGATGGATGATAAGCGGGACTTCTATAGTCGTGTTAGAATTCTTATGGCATATACGTTAGCGGCTAACCACGATGACTGACAATCTATAACTACCATTAATACTTGCTCCAGTCAAGGTACTAAGGAAAGCGTATCAGATAGCCTAGCTGCTATCGATTTCCTACCTAGTACCAATCATCGACTGTGACATATTTTGAATTGCTATTAGAGCTAGCTTGGAGGTTAATGGAATACCACCGGTAGTCACCGTTTTTGGTTTTCTGTGTTAACCTATATGACGAAGGATACAGAAGTACCTAGTGATACGAACAAAGGTAGCGCCTAAGTTAGCTTGTAAATACATGTGGCAACCTCCGCTCAACCGGAAACTGTTACAGGGCGGCATAAATTCGTTAATAAAGCGTGCGGAATAGTTTATTATCCTAGTTAATTCGTTATCGACCATCATCAGAGCTAAATAAAGCTCGAAATGCTTAATAAGGGTTCTTGAAACTAGTCCGCCGGCCTGTTACTATAGTTATATCCCTGTTTAAGATACCCGAAAGACCCTAACGGCAGAATTAGACTTAGTCGTCTAGAATCGCTAAGCGAGCATCTGGTTAGATCTCTCGCTAGATAGTCTGTAAAATGTCTAACTATATCTACTAGAGACATAGATAAGCCAGCTATGATAACATTCGATTAGTGATAGCATCCTCCTTAGGATATTACCGTAACCAGTCTAGGCCTAAGTCAGCGTAATAAGTAAGATCAAAGAAGTGCTAGACATGGCCACCATATTCGAGATAATAACGTTAGAGCGTGCCGCTACCAAACAGAACGAAGTCAATAATATCAGGGGAAAATGCTAGTCAAGCCTAATTAATACGAGACTCAATCTAGCAGTAACTATACCGCTCTAGTGTTTAGCTAAACCTAAGCCTATAAATCACCTACGCTAGCCTAGCTAACTATATAGCACGCTCTCACCGAGTCTACCATAACAAGCCTTATCGGGAATAATCATAGCCCCTAACAGCGACACGGAGATAAGAGAGGAACATATCTATCATTTTCGTCTACTCCCACGTTATTAACCTAGGAAAATCCCTAGCTATCTCTAGGTTCGGCTAAACCCTAACCTAGAGACGGCAATAGGGAAATTCCTTAGTAGATCCTATAAGGTATATATATATATTACTAACTTCTACTATTCAAAGATTAATAAGTATATATAGTACTATATAGGGCATATAAGCCTAGCGCACTATCACGGTGCAGACCCCGGCACCACCGAGGCGCCACCGAGGGTAGTCGTTTTTGGGCCTAAATGCTGAAGCCTGATGATTCAGGCCGTAATAGTTACTAAGCTGCTTCACTAGAACTACACCACGAAGCTCCGCTGTATGTAGCTCCTTGAGCTACGTCTTGTCAATGTACCGTACATAGCCGATTAGCCTAGCCTGCCTGCCGCGCTGACTCCTAATACATCTGCTACCGGACCCGAACCCTGACACGCACTCTATATAGTACCTAGCCCGAGTAGTAGACACTACTTATTAAATAATTCCTCTTTCCTTTATTTTTGGTGATATATGCTATTAATAGCAGGGCTCCCGCTAGTCCCCGTAGAAAGACTAGGAGATAAAAGTTGCTGGTATAATATATCCACGGCGGTAACTATGGGCGTAGAACGCTAGCATTATTATAATCCCGTTAATGGGTATTGATTCAGATAGACATATACTACTGGGCGCGAAACTGCTATAGTTAGAGGATAATGGCAAGGAGAGTATTCCAGGGGCAACTAGTGAGAATATGGGCGCGGCGCACGTTCTATTGGGGGCCTACTTAGCGGGTACGACTGCATATTTATCCGTAGAAAGCTCGTTAGCACGTCCAAAAGCCTACTCTAGGGCGCCAACCGATGTAAATAATTAAATCAAATCAAATCAAATCAAATCAACGCCAAACAATGGGCGGCGGCCATATCGGTTGCATACCACCAGCCCGTCCATTACGTAGAACGCCGGCTGCATGCCTCACAATCCATCCATTCATCCGTCACAAAAATATTACCATTTTTTTTTCGAGAGGTCAGCAGTTAACTTACCCAGAAGGCGGCGCAGCTTCGTTATCCACTGCGATATTGAGTCGGGCCGGAGTAGAGTTGCAGGACACTAACGATGCAAGCATTGTGAGTGGCCACCAGGAGGATGCGCGGTGGAACCACCCAGTTCAGGGCATTACCCTTTCTGATGGTTATGCTAGGTTCAGCCGGTAGCGAAGACGCTAAATACCAGGCTGTGGTAATTTTGTTAGGCCATCATCCTTCATGACTGAACTGGATGATACTGGGTTTTCCAGCCAAGTCACTGATTATATCTGTACTGATGGTGGAGCAGCTGGTGGGGAGAAGCTATGCTAGGGTAGAGGCTGCCTCCAACACCCCCAGATTTGATGGTGTCCTCGATTCTTCGAAATACCCTTGACCCCCCGACTCTTTCGTTCCAGGCAGCTTGCTCTATTCAATCTGCCTAGCAAGCAGCGTACAGACTTCTATGCTGTAACCAGGAAACTAGCCCACAGCTCCAGCAGATATGCCAGCAGCTATGCTTTATTTGTCAGCTCTCAATTGTTTTCTTTTGCTGGTTTTACTGGTCCCTGTTATGTCAGCGCCATGTCCCATTCATTTGCTCCTGTATTAATAATTCATCATGCCAGACACCGCGTGGCATTGTGAGTCGGCGCATGATCCACCCTGTCCCATATCTCAACGCAGCCTGTGGTCGTTGGTTGAGGCGTGGCTCAATTCAGAGTGACTCGGCCCACCGCCATCTGCTGTAAACGGTTCGATCGGGAGACCGTTTCATGCATGACACTGCTAGATTTGTCCCCGAGTACTTCCATTGTAGTGATTGACATGCCAATACAGGTACCAGGCCTTTCTGTACCCAGTAAGGTAAGTCTTACAGAGTCTCGTCTCCCCACCAAATCACCCGCCACGGCCTGCTGGTGCAGGGCACTGCAAGGGACGAAAATGCGCTCATCCGTACCGCTGTAGACGGGCATCTAGCTTTGGAATGGATATTTTGAGCTTAGGTATAATAAACTAAAAGGCAATAAGTCGATTTTCTACTTCTATCCATTGCCCGTTGCTATTGGATCTCGTTGTAGCTGCGCACTTGCCACAACGGTGTTTTTCGTCCTAGCCAATTCGTACCTAACCATGAACCTCTGAATCTGGTGCTGATAGGGGTTTACGCCACAGAAGGTACCCGCGCCGAAGTATCGTCCTGTTGTGGCCAGCACCAGGCTACAGCAAATTTGGTGTGAGGATGTTTTTGGCTAACTGAATTCTTCGATAAACCCTTCCCCCCCCCCCCCAGCCCGAAAAAGCCTCTGTCCCGAGGAGTTTCCCTTTCCTGGGTACTTCTGCTCGATGTACCTTACAGCACTACCACCCTGGGCCTCGTGTATTAGGAGCCGCTAATCGATCTCTCCCACCTTACTGTCAGCATCCCACCGCCAAACATGAACGTAGCCTAAGAAGCACATTTGGCAGCGATTAATGAGTTTTGAAGCGTAGACGAGCTGTTGCGGTTATTGACTGCTCTGCATTAACTTGTGCATTAGAGAGCGGTCGCTGTTGAAGGCAATGGCCATGAAAGGTTAATGTCTCAGAGGTTCAAGCTCGCAGTTGGACATGTGGCGTTTTGAAACACCATGCCACCGCCTACTTGTGCAGGTTCAAGTCTCTGTCAATGGAAGCCAATCACCATCGTAGAAAAGACGATAGCGGCGCGTGTATTCGAGATACTAAAGCTAGAGAGGAAAAGAAGAAGAGGAAGGGCCCTCCTAGCGGTCGTCTAAATACTCCTCTACGGATGAATCTATCGTAAACGCACTCCCGTCGTAAACAGCCCGATTCGATATCGATGCCGCAAACCGTTCGCTACGGCAAACGGCTCGGTTCGACAAACAGCTCGGTTCGATATCGTGACAGTCTCTGTCGATTCATCTTTGGGGAAACACAAACGCCTCACATCCTGCGCGCCGAAAATGTTAAGATACAATCATATACAATGTCCTAGCCCTACAAAGCAACTGGGATAAGATATCCAGGGTGCTAATGTACTGATCATATGTGCCTGTGTTTGAAAAAATGTCCTTGCCACCGACGTCATTAAGATCTTCAGACCTGGTCCGGCAATCAAGAATCGTCACTTAGCGCTCTAAAACTCAGCAAGGCTAATACAATCTACCATCACGGCTGCAGGAAGTTTTAATGCTATTTATGGCTCCCTGAACTGTTAACCGCCGATTTCTCGAATATCACTGTTTCACCTTACCCTTCCTTCCCCAATGCAGATGGGCACCGTGGCCGATCCCCTGTTCTGTTGTCGGAGACCACAGTGCTGCCTGGCGTGCGTGGAACAGGGGTTGCCATTGGGGTGTTCGTTGCTGCCAGGGAAGACCTGTCTGCCAGGACCGGCTACCAAGTGGAATCATGGCTGGTATGCTATGTAGTGGTAAAGCTAACAAGGCTCTCATGGCAGATGTCCCATCCATTTGAGCCGTGCTTAACTAAAATGCCACTAGGACAACCTCTTACCGAGGGCGTCATTGCTCGAGGGGAGGAGGAATTCTCAAGGTTAATTACGAGAGAGGAGAGACATTGCCTGTTGTAGCGTAGGCATTGTCCTTGACAGGCGCTAACGGAAACTACGCTTGGCGATGCAGGCAGGGGATGTGGCTCTGCTGGTCTTGTGGGCTAGCGGCAGGCAGCGGCC